CGGGGCACGCCGGGAGCTGTAGTCCTGCCCCTGCCCTCGGCTCCGGGTGCGGCCAGCGGCCCGGACGGGCTGCGCGGAGTTGTGACCGGGCCGCGCTCACAACCCGCGTTCGTGGAAGAGTCGCTGGGGAGGTCCCGCAAGCCCGCAGGTGGGACACGAGCACCTTCGGATGTGAAGCCTCGCCTAGATAATGTCCCTGTCTGTACTTGGCATGTTACTGTCAGACCGTCCTGCTAAGGAAGGCATTTCACAGAATTACAGAATCACAGACTCTGCTAGCTTGGGAAAGACCTGATATCATCGAGTCCAACCTGTGATTAAACAATACCTTGTCAACTAGACCATGGCACTAAGTGCCACATCCAGCCTTTCCTTAAACACCTCAAGGGAAGGTGACAACACCACTTCCCTGGGCAGCCTGTCCCAATGCCCAGTCACCTTTCTGTGATGAAATTCTTCCTGATGGCCAACCTGAACCTCCCCTGGTGCAGCGTAAGACTATGTCCTCTCATCCTGTCGCTTTCACCTTGCAGTGCATAGCCATTCCTGCTTCAGGATGCAAAAAAGCCTTGGTTTGTGTGACAGCCGCGTGTGCACATTGTGCATGACATTTTCTTGTGAGTATAGAAACAGAAGTACATCGGATGAGGCAGGGTGAGCTGTGCACAGACCTGCCTGCTGCTGCAGTAGGTTGGCACAGCACCCCAGTCCCTTCTCTGCAACCTGCAACCTACAGGCACCAAGGTAGGTGCCATTTCAGGTACCTTTCAGATCGCTACTGAGGTGGCCCATTGGTAGGATTTATTCTGCTATTTAGTCCCAAAACATTGTGAGAGGCATTTTCCAGTCTCTCACAACATTCCCGTGTTTTTAATAAGCAAGTTTTTAAGTAGTTGATGGTGCTCGATGACCAGCCTCACAAATAGTACGAGAAGTTTCTTTTGCAGCTGAAGAGAATTAAGAACCACTTAGACACTAGACTATGGCTGTATGTGAGAAGCATAAAGCTGCTGGAATACATAGAGCTGATGAGGAACTAAATTAGTGTGAGCTTGAGAAGGAGCTTGATCCTGGAAAATATAAGCAAGACATTTGGGACTGGATATTAGTTCCTCATAATTTTTAGAAATAAATAAATAAATAAATAAATGTTAGTAATAAACAGGATTCTTATTAAATACATCAGATTCCCTTCCCTGTCATTCTCACAAATATTGTTTGTGACCAAGGAGCAAGAATAAAGGCATTGACTACAGTTGCAGCTGTATTGGAATGTAGACATACCATGCCACTGTAGGATAGATCCATACATTCATTCTTCCTAAAAAAATAGCTTTACAAATCAAAGTAACTTCTATGACACTGTATCTGGTTTGTAGCAGGGTTTTGCAGTGTTTGACTCTTGCTGACTACTGCACATGAGACTGAGACTTCAATAACTGCACTTGCAAACTGAAATTCTTCATGTTAACTGCTAATGAGAGATTTTACTTCACGAGAGGAGTGGTACATGCCAAATCATGACCTTGCAGGACACCTCAGTCTTACAGACAAAGGAAATTGGGATGGAGGAAAGCACAACATGACTTTCAATTGAGAAATGCAGTCATGAAAATGAATGTTCTTAAATGAAAAACTAGTGTTTATTCCAGCATAACTATTGATTGCGTCTACAATTTGGTTTTGTTCCTCTTTTTCCTCATCTCCTCTTAACCTTTCTTCTCATCCAGTAGTGATGTTTTTTCCTTTCACAAGTGCTGCAGGGTTGTAGGTGTCCTGGACTCTGTGACTCATTTGGTGATGGCTCTGTAAGGCTGCCCTCCCACTGTGATCTGGCATATCTGCTCCCTGTATTTACTTTCTGCCTCCAGACCTGCTCCACCTTTCTTCTGCCCAAAACCACCCCATCAACAGGGTTTGCCACTTCATGTGCATTTTGCCCAGCAGCTTCTGCACCAGACATCAGAAACCTTAGTTTAGGTTCTACTCATTGTCTCACCACCTTAAATTAAGAAACAACAAATCTTCTGAAGGGTTAATAAAAACAAACATTTTCTTATCCATGGATAGTAGCAATCTGTGGATCAAAACCAATACGTAAAAATGTGCATTGTAATTTTAGATCATTAGACAATGTTCTCCAGTGTCATAAGGTACACTATACAAGTCACAGCCTATATTTCATAAATTATCAGTTTATTGTGTTTACAGTGCTGTCAGAAGCAAATCCTACACACTATAGTGAAGTCTTTCCTTTTCTGATCAATGCGTTTTAAATATCAGGCAAGTTTAGTACACTTCAGATATTACCTTCTATCTGCCTTTGAATCTTGGCAGAGTACAGAGCTGCAAAGCACAACGTGACATTCTTGTGGGTCACTGTAAACGGAGAAGTGAGACACTCAGGAGTAAACATGTCACTGATTACATTGGGAAAAAGCTGGTAATTTAAGCCAGTGTCAGTCTGGCAATTATTAATCTAATGGTAGACAGAATCCTTTAGGGAGAGGGAAACTCTTCTACCAGCACAAAACTCATTCCAGAGGGTTATTTGAAGTTGGTGATAGTGCAGCTGGGTGGGGATGGGTGACCCCCACCTAAGATGGTCTGTGTCTCTGGATCTTCACAGCCACTGCCCATGGTAGAACATGTCCCACTCAGCCCCCCTTTCCCACCAGCAGCTCTCTTCCTGGGGCTCTGCCAGTATGGACTGCTATGGATATGCAATCTACTTTATGGAAATATTGAGGGATTTGGGATGAAAACGAGCCAAAAATCTGATTCCAAAGTGTCTAAATTCACAAGTGTATACATAAATATAAAAATATATATGCATCTACATATATATAATATATATGTAGATTGTATAATACCGAATCATATAAAATTTAATATTAATATGGTTTTTATATATACGCACATGCTGCATATATACATCTACATACATATATAACATACAGATGTGCATGTGTATATATATATATATATGTAGATTGTATAATACCCAGTTGTATAAAATATAATATTAATTGAGATATAGATATATATTGTTTGTTTTGTTTTATTTTTGTGTTTAGTTTGGGGGGGTTGTTTGGGGGTTTTGGGGGTTTGTTTGGTTATTTTTGGTGTGTTTTAAAATTTTTTTAATTTTTTTTTTTTTTTTTTTTTTTTTTTTTTTTTTTTTTTTTTTTTACTGCATATTCCTTTCCACCCAAAGATTTACGTTTTCAGACGATCTTATTTACAGGGAACCCCCTCAGCAGTGCAGGGTGGAGTGAGTAAGGTCTGGCTGGAGCAGATAATTGCTCTGCCAGCAGCGATGGCTCTGGCCCCCGTCCAGCGAACAGAAATGGGTGGGCACAAGGGTCACCGCTTCACGTATGTGATAATCCCAGGGGGGGTCTCACAATTCAGCTCCTCGCCGCCTTCCTTGCATGCAAACCCTCTGCAGAGGCAGCTTTGCTTTCTCTTGGGGTTTATTTTTTTATATCAGCAAAGACAACCAGGAAGAAAAAAATGTTGCATTAAAATTAGAACGGAGAGTCGACTGCTGAAGCGCTTTATTTTTTAGATTTTTATTTTTTTTTTTAAAGCCTAATTCACCTTAAAGAATCTCAAAACCAGCCACAAGGGAAAGATTTGTGAGTTTTTGTAATGGAAAGCGGTAGCCTCTAGGGCCCAGAGGATATGCAGGGAGGCATTTTCTCTTGCTGGTGCAGCTGGGAGCGAGCGAGAGAGAGCGAGACCTGGAAATGAAAGTAAAGAGATCAGGAGGCACATGGAGGGAGCTGCAGGGGCAGCCGATCCAGAAGCAGAATGCTGCCTTCTATAATTAAATAGCACTTACTATTATTATTACTTCTAGTAATAATACATTAATAATATCTCTAGTAATACAATACCATTTATCAAGGAAAGTTTATACATAGTGTGTGGGGGAAAACCCGAGGAGAGGTGAGTTCTTTATTATTATTTTGGGGGGATTATTTTTTGTCTTAAATCAATTCTGTGTGTGTTTGTGTATGTAGAAAGGGGTGGACTTGAGAAACAAGAAATTCTGGATGTTGCTTCATTAGAAAGTAAAGGTTTCAGATAGTAACTGCATAGATGAAAGGTTGTGTAATTGGAAATTTGATTTTGAAGCTAAACCCTCTTCCGCCAAAAATGTGGGGTTTGCAAAAAAAAAAAAAAAGAAATATTGTCAAAGATCCTAATCCCACCCCCTGGAAAAATGTGGTAGTAGTCTAAAATTGCATAGCTAGGGGAAAAAAACCTGAGTTTACATGGAAAACTTAGTATTAATCGCGTTTGTGCCTGTGTTTTGTAGGTTCGGGATGTGTGTGCTGGTCTGTATTTAGACTGCAGTTTCCCCCTCTTGTTTGGTACAAACCCCATTAAACGGCAGAAAAACCCTTTGGAATTGCTTTTTACATGGATCTTCCGTAGGGTCTTCTAAAGTTTATCAAATAAGACTGTGTTTTAGTTTTGTTTGGGTTTCGTTTGTTTGTTTTGGTTTAAATTCTTTAATATTTTAGACAGTTTCCGGGTGGCAGGGGACATTATGTGTTGGGGGTTTTTTTAAAATTTTTTTTTCCTCTTAAAGCCGTCTCCCAGACTCTTGGAGATGCGTGATTTTTATTTCAGTGATGGGGGGTGGGGAAGGAGGAAGAGCATGTTTTGGTTTGTTTTCCTTTTCCCGGGGAAGCCTGGATGTCTCCTGCCGCGGGAGACCCTTCCCAGCAGGGCCGCGGTGTTGGGAGTGCCGGGGTGCCGGCGTTCGGCAGAGCCGCGGGGGTGCGGGAAGCGCCGCCGGCCCCCTCTCCGCTCCAGCCGCCGAGGTGGCGCCTCTCCCGGCAGTGGCTTCTACGCAAGGCCGGGGATCGGCGGCCTAGTGCTGGCAGTGGGGGGAGGAGGCGAGCGAGGGTTCCCGCGCTATCCGCGTGGAAACCGGACCTGGGGTTTAGTTTTTCAAATGAAGCACGGGAGTGCGAGCTGGGTGGGCAGGAAACCCAAGAGCAAGTGGCGTAGGGATAGGCAGCATCACCCCACATCTCTGTCCTTGCTCCCTGGCTGCGCTGCAGTGCGGGCAGGAGGAAGGGTGGCCTGTGATATATGAAGGTGTTATGTGTGGAACACAAGGCTGGAGGGAATTTTAAATGAGGTAATGGGGGCTGTTGTGGTCAATTGAGGCTTAGCCCCCACCACCATCCCCCTCTCAGGGAAACTTGGAGTCACTGCGTTTATTTTCACTGGGGGGTGAGCTGGTTGTTGCTACCTTGCTCTGCATTCAGTGGGTGCAGTGAATATTGCTGGGTGCAGCTGGTGGCACCCCAGTGACCCCAGTGATGCTGCAGAGCAGGAGTGGCACTAATGGGGTGCTGGGATGTGAGACGGTGGCCATGAAAGTACCTTGGGGCAGCCACTGCGTGGAGGGACAGAGGAGTCAGCCCTGGTGGGCACAACAGAGTGGTGGGGAATTCAAGAGCAGTTGGCTGTGAGAAGCAGTGAAACCCAGGGAGTGGGGCATGGCAGAGAGCAGCTGCAGGAGTGAGCAAGAGCCCAAGTTTGTAATGGGCTCTGCAGTTTGTCCTTCACTGATGTGTGCCCAGTTAGCTGTTCCGCTGTACCACTAAGGTGGCCAAACTGCAGGGAGTGAAAGACTCCCATGTTTCAGACCAGTGTTTCCTGGAGCCTTTTTCCGGGGGAGCTCCAGTCTCAGCTCTACAACATGACACTTGCATCTGAGCGTACTTATTTCTAGCTGAAATGTTACAGTCAGTGCCTGGAAGTCAGTCGAATGTCAACTTATTGCCATCTCAGAAACACGGTATGAAAAACTTTGCCCAAATTCAGCTCTAGCAGGGTTATGAATAACAGCCATGTCCTTGGTAAGATAAATCAAAGTCTTTCCATTCATCTCGTGTTTCTACCATCTACCCATCTAGAGGATATCCCCCCAGTTTGAAGTTCAGTCACCCAGCTCACTGGCTCTTACTTCCTTTTGAAGGCAGTTCACTGGCTCATGCTTCCTTCTGATGCCTGTCTGTAGCTTTTTATTCCTGTCTGGGAAATGGTTTGTAATTTATTGACAAAGTTTGAATAAAGTTTTCTCTTGATGCTGAACCAGAGAGGATAAATGTCCCTGGACTGAAAGGGTAAGAGTTTGTAGTGGAGATATAAATACTCAGTATTTGAATGTTGCTGGTGATTTGAGTGGACATGTCTGGACAGAGAGGTTTGGTGGGGGGGAGAAAAGCAACACTTAGACACAAGGGTTCATAAAATGTTTTCTACTGTGTTTCTAAAAATATTTGAAAGACCAAGAAAACAAAAGCTAAACAAGCTTTCCACTTAAAATTAATTATGCAGTAGCTGTGGTATAGTGTGTGGCAGAACTGAAGTGTTGCTCATGTGGGTGGCTCACAGTGTGTTGGGTTTGCTGGTGTAACAAGTGCATGGCTTGGTCTGAATGTTAAATGAACCACTGTGAAGAGGCTGGAACCACGAGGGGAGACAGAAGTGACAGAATTTACCGGTGAGGGTGAGGTGGTGGGGGAGGAGGTGTGAGGAGCAAAAGAGGAGTGTGTTTGGCAGCCTCCTGCAGTGGTTGGGGCAGGCAGGACAGATGAGGGGTCTGTCGCATGAAGGAGATTGCTGGTGTGGAGTCACATCGAAGGAAAAAGGAAGGTAGTTGCTCCTGAGAGATGTACAAGAAGTTGTTGAGCAGCAGCATATGGTGTGTGCTTTGAAGGTGTTGCCCATGAGAGGATGAGTCTTATGTGCAAAGTCATGACATAAGCCTGGAGGTGTGACAGACCTTTAGCAGAAAACGCTGGTCACTCACTTGCAAGGAGGGAGGAATGTGGGACAGTACCAGGGAGCAACAGTCTAGAGGGGAGATCAGGCTGGTGGTTTATATCTAGAGAAGGCAATGGAGGGTTTTGGGTTGAAGAACATTCAGTCTGGAAGATGAGGGTAGAACTGCAGAGCATAAAGAGCATGCAAGGCACAGAAGGTTACCTTTTACGAGGGTTTTGCAGCAAGGATCTAACTGTAGCTGTGTGTTGTGGGACTTAAAGAACTGCAGTAGGCTGGTCAGCCATCCACATGAAGCAAGGATGGGGATATTCATGCTGGATACCGTGGCAATAGTGATGAGGAGAGAAAAAACCAGAAGGGGAGCTTCGGGATGCAAGAAGAATTGGGTAACTCTAGGAAAGAGACATTCTGTAGCCATTCCCAGTAGTCCTTGGCTGCACTCCAGGTTTGGGTCAGTTATGTTTGAATGCCCTTTTCTCTGGGCAAGCAACAGTAATCAGCTCTCTCTGTAACACAGACTCACATTCTGCTGTGTAGATGTTTTAGCAGCAGGATCAGGGTAGCTGTGAGAATAGGTACTGATCTCTCCTTCACTCCTTGCGGAATGTTTTGAAGGTTGAGCTCAGAAACAGAAGTAGGCCATGCGTATTGGAAGGTTTTCAAGGTGGTGATCTGTTTTGTGGATATACACAATTGTAAAGGTGCGCCACAGCATTTTTGGAATGCAGCCATTGACTTGGTGATGACCAGGCAGTGTTCAACTGCCGTCCCCACAGTCACCAATAGTCTCTCTTTTCATCAGATCCTGTGGGAAGTGGACTGCTGCTTCACTTCCCTGACTTTGGTTCCTTCCAGCATGGCTCAGGGAGCAGCAAGAGCAGGGCTGCACCTCCAGGCAGGACAAGCAAGTAGCTGAACGTGGTTGCAGTCACAAGCAATGCCCTCACTCATAGGGTATAGTCCCACCACACCTGAACAGTGTAGGCTGTATGGACCACCACATGGCAGTGGTCCATCAACAGTCCCAAAGAAGATGAGGTGCTGAATCTGGTCCAGGTCCAACCAGAAAGTTCAGCAGTAGGCGATGGTGCCAGAGCCAGGACTGGAGACAAGCTGCCTGCAGTGGAGGTCTAAGGTTTGTCCCAGAGATAGAACTGAGGACAAATTCACCTAAAGCGTTGCTCAGACAAGGCAGGACCTGGACCTCTGCTGAAATGCAGCTCCTAGACCTTGGACAGAGGGGCGTAGGTGGGGTCCAAGGTGAGGCTGTTTGGGGTACTTCAAGCCTTTTAGTGTATTCAGGGACCAGACAGCTAGAAATTTTTCCTTCCTCTCTGTGCTCTCCCCATAAGCCTTTGGGAGGGTCTACTTGACTCTTTTGCCTCCTCTTCTCTCCTACAGTTTGTCTCTTGTCATTTCCTGTGGAGACTCTTTCCTCACTCTTGTCTCTGATGGCCCTCACAGTTTGCTACAGTGCTCTGGGGTGGCTCTGTCCTCTTTCATTTCTTCCACTGCTGCCTTTGTGGAAATGGTTCCTACTGCTCTTCTTCCACGTCTCTGTTCTTTCTTACTTCCTCTGTCTTTACAGAATTTCACACAAGGAGAAAAATTAAATGAATTACCACTCTCTCCTTGTCTGCCTCTCAAGTCTGTGTGTGAATCATTAAAAATCAATATATGATCATGGACAAAGACCCTCTAACTAATTAAAGTTAGAAAGTGGTATGTTTATTCGCCAGTGGAGGGCATGGGAATTGTCTCCAAAAGGCATGACTGCCCCAAACAAGGTTCTTTTCCTTTTATTTATTTCCCAAGATCTTATATAAAATACGTATGCATAACTCCAGCACCTCCCATCCCCATTCAGTATTAAAATGAGGCTATTAATCCTTCACATGCGCACAGTTCTTCTCTTGAATTGGGTCAG